TCAGTGATAAAAAAAAGTTTTTTCACTGTCAGGAGCATACATGGGGATCTGATTGTATCCGGAGTAAGCATCCATAAAATTCAGTAATTCATGTCCTGTTGTTCCTTTAACCAACATATCGATCCTCGACAAAGGAAAATTATCCTTTGGGAAGGCCTTATTTAGATCTGTGAAATCAACACAAAGTCTCTATTTGCCATTTGACTTCTTGACCAAGACCATATTTAACAACCAATGGGAGTACTGTATGGGAGTATTGTACCTCCTGGATAAAGTCAGCCTTCAAGAGCTTCTCAACCTCCTTTGATATAACAAGGTTCCTCTCTAGAGCAAACACCCACCTTTTCTGTCTGACTAGTTTGAAAGATGGATCCACATTGAGCCGATGAAACACAATAGAGGGGTCGATGCCAGACATGTCGTCATGTGTCCATGCAAACACATCTTTGTTTGGTCACCTCTTAATTCACCAATGCCTTGCTCTGTAGGGAAGCGCATCAATAAGTGATACGTGGAAATGGCGGCTCTAATAAAATTCAAGGTTGTTCTCCCCAAGATTATATTGTTGTAAACGGACAATCCACTACCAAAAAATCTACCATCATGGTTACTTATTTCGGACTGGTCCCGACTGTCAACGAAAGTGTGACCACACCTAAAGGGAAGACCTTTTCTCCAGAAAAACAAACAAGAGGGGACTTCGTTAGCCTTAACCTTTCCCTGCCAATACACATCATGTCAAATGCATCAATAAATAACAAGTCGGCAGAACTACCATTATCGATTAGTACATGATATATTACGTAGTTTTCCACGACTACTGTCACTACTAAAGGATTATCATGTGGCTACTGGATTCCCTTAGCATCTTTTTTTGAAAAGGTAATGTTTTGACCTTTCACTCTAGGAGACTTCGCTGGGGGTTAATGAATCTCAACTTCCTTGACTCCTGCTGAGCTCTGAACTATCCTGACATGGGCTTTTCATGCTGAGCTTAATTATCCCCTACACACAAATCCTCTCGAAATCACCCTTATTTCTCCCAACGGGCGGCTAAGAAGGTTGTTCTCTCTGTTCTCGCGGGTAGGTTGAGTCGCACCCTTTTCACGGTCTGTGGCATGTCTGTGTAACTACCCCCGTCGAATTAGGCTTTGCATCTGGTTCTTCAAGTCGAAACAATCATCGATATTGTGCCCATGGTCTCTATGGAATCGACAATACTTGTCCTTGGATTTCCTTATCGGATTTGATTTTAACTTGGGGGGCCATTTCAAGGAGTGTTCATTTTGGATTTGTAGGAGGATCTAACTGATCAGGGTGTTCAAGGGAGTGAAGTTTATGTAGCTATCTTGCCCCCTGGGTACTCTAGGGGGCCTATCATTGGTATGTTTTCTGAACTTGGTGTCTTTCTCGTCTTTGGAGCTAGCGGCTAGCCTTTTCTTGTCTCCTTTCTTGTCGTTGACTCCCTTACTGTTTCTTGAATTTATGGCATCTTTAGCATTCATATGTTTCTAGGCCTTTATTAAAACTCTACCATGCTATTTGGTGGGTTCCTTGATAAGGAAAATAGGAACTTTCAGGATTTTAACCCTCTCATGAAGGTTATAAAGGCAACCTTATCATCCACCTTATTGAGCTGCAACATCTTCGTATTAAACTGGCCAATATAATCACTCAATAACTCCCCTTTGTTTTGCTTAACATTCAATAGATAAGTGGTTGGCTTTCGGTGTCTCCTCCCTACAATAAAATGCCTTATGAACAGTTTACTGAGTTCATCAAAGTCATTGATAAATCTTGGTTTTAATTTATTAAACCAAACACGGGCTGACCTTTTGAGTGTTGTAGGGAAAGCCCTACACATGATCTCATCTGGAATGGTTTGCAAGTTCATGAGGAATTTAAAAGTTTCTAAGTGGTCGAGGGGGTCGCGAGTTCCACCTAAACTATCAAGATGGGGCATCTTGAATTTTGTTGGAAATGGGAGGGCCACGTCTTTTGAACAAGGTCATCAACTGTAGCGGGACCCTTTTCTTTTAGGGCTTGGACCATTCCTTCCACTTTCGATTTGAGATCCTGGATCTGCTGATCAATGTAAGTTGCTTCAATGCGTTCTCCGGTATCAGATATATCTTATTGCCGGGAACGAGGCGTGGAAGTACACAAATCTCTCTATCGACCTCCTACTTGGCTATGTTCTACTATGTGACTGTCATCATTACCTTCAAGGGGTACTGCAGGGATAGCTAGGTGTTGCATGATTTCCGTATTTTGTTGTACCAACTGATTCATACCTTAAGTAAGGTTCTGAACCTGTTGCTCCAACGCGACAATTTTCCCATCATTTGGAACACGCCTAAGCTCGTTCTCGTGACGGGATGCATGCTCGGACTAATCTTCTCTAGCATGAGACTAACTAGCGCGAGGTCGTCATTCTTGTGATGAGGTTGATTGTCGTCATAATGTGATTGATGACCATTGTTGTGTCGCGACTGGTTCTTATCGTCATGTTGTTAACGGCTACTGTTATCACCATGCTGTGATTGATTTGCGCCTTGATGTTGTTGATGGTGGCTGCCATCACCATGTTGTGACTGGTTTCCGCCGTCATGTTGTTGATGATGGCCTCCATCGTCAAGGCGCGAAGGGTGCTAGCTTCTTTCTCTGAGTTGGACTCCGGATCACAACTGAACCATTGTTTTTCTAGGAAACTAATATCGCTTCCCACAGACGGCGCCAACTGGTGATGCAAGATTATATCACGACCCAGAACGACGTCGTAACGTGCAGAGAAGAAAAAGAGTTATCGGAAAAGCACCGATGCGATATCGCCCAAGAGTCTCCAACGGTCAAGTTAGTACAAGACCAGAAAGATGAATGGACTCTGTTAGGGATTTTTGTCGTACTATTTGATACGAGAATTAATTTCCTTATTCTAGTTCAATACGGATATGAAGAACTCATCCTTATCCACATTGCTTCATCAATTGTAGCTTATCTAACTTCTTGGCTTCCGTGTCTGTTAGAATTCGTGTATTCATGTTGGATTTTAGAGACCGTATCATCAGGAATAATCCTTTACCTGTTTCTTTTTGTCCTTTTAGAAACCATAACAAATACTATATATTTTAATGAAAGACAGTTAAAAATAATAATAATAATAATAATAATAATAAAATAAAAAATAATAATAATAATAAAATAAAAAAATAAAAAAATAAAACTTATTTCATACCAATCATCAAGTCCAACATAGTTCTTAAACGATAGTGATAAAAATATATATATATATCATGGAAACTTTGCCATTGGTTTATGGAGGTTGATTAGTTTCATTTATTTATTTTTAAACAAAAATTTCAGCACCAACCAAAATAAATAAGAGGTCAACAGAAAGTTTTGATATATAGTTAGAGAGAGAAGAGTCCAAGCAAAATTGCTTGCAATGGTAACTAAAACCTTTGTGCATTTGATGTGCGCTATATAGAAGTAGTATTATCGTATTAGTGTTGCCACATAACTAGACAACAGGGGCAGTGGGTAGGGATGGCAACATGAGCGATTCTGGGCAGTATCCTGTCTTGCCCCCATTTAAAATACCCCATATCGCTCCTACCCAAAATTGCCTAAACAGGTTGCCTTGTTATTCCATTCCCGCCTCCATTTATATCTGTTTACTCCACGGGCACCTGTCCTGCCACATTAATTCCCAAAAGTTTTCATTGTATTTTTTTTTTTTTCCTCAAACACAATTATATAAGTATATAACCCACGCAAAAGTGTTATCAATAGTAATTTAACAAAAAATTCAAATTACAAATATTCCATAATTGCAACCATACACATTTCAAACTAAAATTAAACCTAAATGGGGCAGGGCGCCCCCGCACCAAACCGCATGAGTTTGCTCTTATAAAACCCGTCTCCGCCCAAATCCCTTAAATGATTTTCAAAAACTAGTTTAAACAAGATGGGATGGGTAGGACAAATTGCCATCCCTAGCCGGTGGGAGAGGGGGGCTAGGAGGGCCATGGCCCACGTGAAACAAGGCTGCTTCTTTAAGATGGGTTCCAGATGGTGGATGCATTCATGGCTGGGAGACATCTTCCCAATATGTTCAACTAAATTGGGATGTTGGAATGTCCTTGAAATTTTAAAGAAGGTTGATTCACGGAAGCCGCCTACATTTTTTTTTTGTTTGAAAGGTACACGGAAGCCTCTTGTTACCTTTTTTTTCACTTGTTCCCTCGCATTTTTAGTCATTTATTACGTAGTAACTTGTAGTCTTGTAGCAAGCCTTACTCTCATCTTTCGGGCCCAAGCCCGAAAAGGAGAGAGCCGAAAGGACAATTAGTGAGTATCAAGAACAGAGCTTGGAAGGGTTGGCAATGGCAAAAAAAACTAATGCTATGTGTGATGCTATGTGTGGCAGCGAATCAGTGTTATGAATCTAGAATTGAAGAAAATTTAAGTACAGAACTAAACTTTCTCCCATTTTAAATCCAAGACACCTGTGCGCCCAAACATAAGGTCACCCATATGGAAGAATTGCTATATCTGTGAGGTTAAGCCACAATTGAATAACAGGTGATGATGGCTTTCAGCACTGGCAAGGCAAACGGAACAATAATTAAAGCAGCTATTGTCTCTAGTCTTGAGTTTCAGATTAAATGACAGAAGTAGACTATATATCATGACATTTTATGAAAAGCTGAGTATGTTGTACTTTAACCAAACATGGTGAAGGCAAAGTAAGAGTTTGAGTCCGACGTGATCCTCTCAAGTAGAATAGAATTGAATCATTCTGTTTTAGTTAGTGATATACACTACAAAAAGGCACAAGAACTCGACAACCTTTTTATACCGGTGTATATCACTAACTAGACGGAACAAGAACAGGAAAGGATCTTGTTCCTGTCGGAGTCTCTTTCCAAAAAACGAGACAACTAGACTAAGGCACTCCAGTGCTCCGAAAAAATAACAACATAAAAAACCAAGTATACCATCAGCAAACATTCATTTTATAGAAACAGCAGTCATCATGACTAACATAACAGCAATTTAAAAGAAACAACATTCACTACATCACTAATAAAGCTCAAACATGACTCAAACTTTTTCTACTGAGCAAAAGCTGCAAACATCCCATATGCAAGATGAAAACTGTTGCGCAGCAGCTTAGCAGCTCCATTAACGTGATAGAGATCGAAATGCAGATGGATATATTATGCAAATATGTCTTGATACTCTTTTTAATTATTCCGTTTCGGCCTAATCTCGATTCCTTCAAGAATTAGGCCACTCTTCCACATGCCACTCTTCACCTCCTGTAAGCACACTTCTAGTTCCCCATCATCTCCACTCTCGTAAAAAAGCTCACCGAATTCAATCTCGAACCACCCATCCTCTCTTTCCTTAGGATATTGACTACTGCTTTGGCTTTCACCAGGCGGGGAAGGTTGTCGTCCCACCATACTAGCAAAGGTGTGACGAAATATCCTTGGTACGATCTGGAACCGCTGCCTCTGCTCTCCTGCAGTATCCAAATAGACCGTTCTTGCTTCACTTCTACACTCACCAATTGCTACCCAGCCCTCTACAGGCTGGTATTCAAATCCGTACGTTGTTGCTGTCGACTTGAACACTAGGTAAGCCGCATAGGTTGTGTTCGGAGACAGCATGCAAGTATCTATCTTGCCATGGATTTCGAGCCAACACACGCTCACAAGCTCGGCCACCTCTCTAAACCTGTTTTTGTTAATGTGCATTGTGTAAGCGTCCGTGTAGATAAAAATGTAAAACCAATGACCAGTAATCTAGCAGTATTATCAGTCTCTTACTTCTCAAAAGAAGGTCAATGGTTCAAGTCTCAGACACGTATGTGAGCACCAACTAAGAAAAAAAAAAAATGTAAAGAAAATAGGAGAGAGAAAATACGGGTGTTAGCGATGTACCTGGACTCTGGTAAACGATCCCAGCTCCAATACAATGGCGTATCACCCCATACAATGTCGAGGTCTCTTGTAGCTAACATGTAACATTTTTTTCCGCTCCATTTCTCCAACCAAAAGCTCTGTTTATTACTCAACAATGAATAAACAAACATGTATTAAAGCAAAATAATGTGTGATATATATGTAGTGCTCAAACACCAAGCTTCAATTTGGTATTGCCATAAATATAACAAGGAATTAGACAGAAGAATCAAAACTTCAAAACCAGAACAAAATCACTCCAAACCTTGTATAATATGATCTAAGTTGAAGATTCAACATCAGTAAGCACAAGGCATGCCATAGTTGCAACATAGTGACTATGACTATTTCAATTATTTTTAAAATAATGGTTTACCTACCGAATTCCGCAATTACCGAATCTTATTTATCCTAGTGGCGAACTCATCCCATAAAAACTAATGTTGAGATTTTTTTAATATATTAATACACTCTTGGACGGTCATTTTCTTAATCGAGGAGTCTAGATTGAATTGGTCCAGTAAGTATAAATGGTCTAGGACCATCTAATAATTTTGCCAAATCATGTGCCTCACTCGCATATTCCGTAACCCCAAATTACTACTCTGTTTTTAAATTCGGTAACTAAATTACAACTTTTCAACCTTAAATTTCTTATTTATTTCCTTGGATAGCTCTACGCATGTGTTCTAATTATCTAATTTCTACAGTTACTTAACTAAATCTAATACCAATGTTCAGAAGCAGAACTTATTAAGTTGTACCTTTTAATATATATATATATATATATAATTACCAGGTAAATGCACTCATGATTAAATAAAATAATAGACTTGCGAATAATCCCCATTTTCTTACTTGCATACATCAACATCAATAGAATATCAAGCCCAAATACGATAATAGACTTGAGAATAATTATTTTCTTGCTTTTATGCATGCATCAACATCAATAGAATATAAAGCCCAAATATGATAATACAATTGGGAATAATCCAGTTTTTTACTTTTATGCATATCACATCAATAGAATATAAAGCCCTTGATGTCCAATTCAACCTAATTAACCTAAATTTCACATATTGTTATGAACCCAATTCACACAATAAACCAAATTTTATTATTAAAAAAAAAAAAAAAATGAACGTTAAACATAATCTTTTAGATAACATAGAATTGAACTTGAATTTCAAATAGGCTATTAATATTATTATTACAATTGTATTGGAACTCATTTTATATTAAAATTCAATTAAAAAAAAAAAAATGTTTCTTTTACCTTGGTGCCTCCATCGATTAACAGAGGGCGATTGCAGAGTTGAAAATAGAGCTCTTTCTTGGACGAGAAAACCAGTTGAGACTGCCAAACGAGTTTGTGATAGTTTTTTGGCAAAAACATCTCCCAAACCACGTCGGAATCGACTGTTGACCTAACGTTGGAGGCAACCAGGGTTAGTCTGCTCACATCTCGAGGACTCGTACACGATAATAATTTCGCAATGCAATCCTCTGGTAACACGAAAAAATCAACCATTTTTTTTCTCTCCTCTCCCTCTTATCTTCTCAGCATATACATGTACAAATTTGAGGATGGATATCTATATATATATATATATATATATATAAATTGAGGCGGTGAAGATTGTGGATGGATATATATCTATATTTAAAGTGAGGCGGTGAAGATGCAGGAGAGAGACAGGAGGATAGCTTCGCCATTAAGAATTTTAAAGACAATTCTACACACGTTGGAATATGCGGAAGATCTGCTCTGGCAAGAGGGCTACATTACATAAATGTGTACACGTTGGAATATGCGGAAGACCTCTGCTGGTAAATCATTATTTACATAAACGTGAACACGTAAGAAATGAAACATTTCACAAATAATTTGAATACGATAATCACTTTTTAACTCATCCATTGAAAATATGGTGGGATGCACTAACAAAACTACATGCGATGCACTAACAAAAACACACCTGTAACAATTAATGTAAATATAATTCAAGAAAAAAAAAATACATACTCAAATAATAATAAAAAATAATGACAAATATTCAAATATAATAGAAGAATGAATTTTTAAAAAATAATAATAACTTAATCAAAAATCCTAAATTGTGTCAAACGTATTCCATCAAAAAGAAAAATAAATAAATAAATAGCAAAGGCAAAGGTAAAATTAATATATTCATACTCAAATAATAATAATAAATAATGACAAATATTCAAATATAATAGAAGAACGAATTTTTAAAAAATAATAATAACTTAATCAAAAATCCTAAATTGTGTCAAACCTATTCTATCAAAAAGAAAAAAAATAAATAAATAGCAATAAGGGCAAAGGTAAAATCAATATAATCATACTCAAATACCATAAAAAAAAAAAAAAAAAAAAAAAAAAAAAAAAAAAATGAGTTAAAAATTCTTTTAAATCGAAATCTCGAAAAATAACAGCAGAAGTAAAATCAATAGAATTATACTCAAATAGTAGTAAAGGTACCATTTTCATAGCATGAACATCATGAGAATAATAAAAAATAAAAAATAAAAAATAATTCATTCTTGTGAAAACATGAATGTTGGTTATGTTCATTCTTACCATAAAAGTACAACGCAACACATTAGGCACATATGACATATCATAATGCAATGAATCAACCAAACTAGGATCTGGCACAGTACAACAGATTTCAAAAACTATTTTACCTTGATTACTAGATGAGTCTTTAATAAAACCTAACCCAGTTTTATCATTCACATTTTTACTAATGTTTATCATCTTATTTAGTTTGACATGACTAGCAGTAAAACCTATCAGTTTATCCTCTGTCCTTCTCAATTCAAGCTCATTATATTCAATTGTCATAATAAGATATTCTCTCAAAGCGTTAGCATTACTTACCGTTTCTTCAAGAGTGCTGACTTTTTTCATTTAGATCAGAAATGATTGAATTGTTTTCAAAAGCCTTTCTTTTTCCTTCATCAATCTATTTTCTCATATCACCAATCTCTTCTTTTGCTTGTATAAGCTCCTTTACTAACTCGTTCACAACCAATTTGACTTCAATAGTCTCTTCGAATGTCTTCTTCAATTTTTCTCCATCCTTCTCATCCTCTTGAATCTATTCATCATGAATTTCATTGGCTTCATCATCTGAAATATCATAATCAAATAAAAAATAATATGTAGACCTTTATCAAGAAAAGGTACATAAGAAAAATCATTGATATCATCATGCAAGATTCATTATCACTAAAAGTAGAATTTTCAAAAACATAAACTTTCATTGCTTTCCATTTATTCCTATCATTTTGTTCTTTCTTAGGACTAGGACAAATATTTGTTGAGTGGCCTTTGCCACCACAATTCCAGTAAGTGAATTCAGTTTCTTTCGACTCTTCTACTTTCTTTTCATTTATCTTCAATTTTTACCCCTTGTCAAAATTTCTAGGATTGGCCCCATTGTCATTCATTCTCCTCTGTTGTCTTTACAAAAACTGATTAAATTACCTAGTTATAAAAGCCACATCTTCATCAAAATTTTCATCAACAGAATTATCAACCTGAGTTGACTTTAAAGTAAGATTCTTTTCTTTTTTATTTAAATCAAAATTTTGCATCTCAAAATTTTTCAATGAACCTACAACTTCATTTACTTTAGATTTAGACAAATCCCAATGTTCAGTGATAGTTTCTACCCTTATCTGAAATCTTTTAAGTAAAAACCTTAAGATTTTCTCACAAATTTTCTTATTACTAACTCTTTTGCCTAAGTGACGAAGTTCAGAAATAATTTCAAAAAATCTAGAATAAAAATTAGAAAATGATTCATCTTCTTTCATCACAATGTTCCCAAACTTATAAGAAAACATTTGGATTTTAGACAACTTTACTTTCGAAGACCCTTCATGAGTAACCTGCAAAATATCACAAACATCTTTAGCAGTTTTACAATAATAAATTCTAGCATATTCAAATGGAAAAACAGAATTTATAATTGCATATAAAGCTTTTCCATTAGCATTATTACGCCCAGATTCAAGTGCAGTGAAGGAGAAAGTATCTTTTAAAACTTAAACAACCTTACCATCCACAGTATCTTCCTCAGTCGGAGGTGCATAGCTTGTCTCAACAATAGCCCATAATTTACCTCCTGAATTTTGCAAATAAGTTCTCATTTTTTATTTTCAAAAATTATATTTGTTTCCTTCAAATAAAGGACCACGTTGATTAGATCCATCCTCTTTCAACGCATAAGACATGATGAAATAATTTTTTGAAAAATAATTAAAAACTTTCCACTAAGATCAACTCAATGTGTAGAGATTGGCTCTGATACCAAATGTGAGTTTATGCAGCGGAAGATATTTATTGAAAGTTTAAGTTTTTAAGGAAAAGAATAAAATTTGTGTCTTTCTATTTTAATCAGTTTTACTTAATTTAGCAATTAATCAATTAATCACATGCAAGATAAAAGTAAAGTAAAGCAAATAGAGTTTGAGAGATGACACCAGAATTTTTAGCGAGGAAACCTTAATTGGTATAATAGACCAATTGTTGTGGAAAAACCTCGTGGACTGTGCAGTCCAGACCAAAACGATCCACTATGTTTGAAACAAAGTACAATGGACTTTGACTCAGGCTAACACCCTATCGTTTTACCAAATACCAATTGTTGACAATCCTCTGGCTTTGCGATTTCCCGTTCAACAGCTCTTGACTTCAGACTTACTCTTGATCTCTATAAAAGGATTGTTGGTAGATCAAACAACACTCCTCGAATGCTTTGACCTTTTCAAGGTGTGCTCGCTTCACCCCTTTTATTCAAGATCTGAACTCTGATGTAGAAGAAATAGATCTGCTTCTCTGATCATTGTAGATGCAATATTCAATGAACTTTAAACACGACCAGGAATTGAACAAACACTCTAAACCCACTCTTGTGTTTATGTGTATGTTCTAGAAATAAAGATAGAAAAATCAAATTTGATTTTCTGCAAAATATCTCTCAAATAGGCTTTTTAAGAATCAGAAGATGTAATGCAAAAGGCGTACTAATCTAGATATAAATCAAGGTTTATATAGACTTTCAAAGACTTACATATGTATAGGAAAAGGTAATTTTCGTGTATAAGGCTTTTGGAAAGAATTCTCTATCAAATAGGAAGTTTAAACAGAACTAGAAATTAAAATCCTAAACTATATCAACAAGTAGAACTGGTAACCAACTTTTCAACCGATTCCCAAAAGACAGAAAGTTTCCATTAACCTAAAGGTTCTTGAACCAGTAGGAGAAATGTGTTACCGGTTCTAACTTGACAGAATTGAAAGGAAGGTTAATCAGTTTGGAAAAAATTATGTTTTGAAAACTTGAAGAAACATACCATGTATGTATAGTGTCCTAAGTGGGAAACGACTTTCTAAAGTGTTGTTTATACCTTTTTCATAGATCAAAGTTCATCAACCTCGAACAACTTTCTAATTCCGTAGCCAATCTTGATCTTAATATGGTAATTTGAAAATTACAACTCGATTGGACTTGTTTTAACACAGAAATTAGCAAATTACAAAAAATATATCTCACATATCTACATTGTTCGTTTATATTTCTCATATCCCCTGTGAAACAAGGATGTTTTACTTTTCATTGCCTCGCGGCCACGAATGAGGAGATTCCACTATAATCATGTAGAGATATTATAACAGTATAGACTATATATGACACCAACTATTCTCCTAAAGTTTTTCTCTGATGTATTCTACTCCCAGAGTAAGGCATCGATACCTGCGAGACATCTCGCAACAAGACACCTTCTTGAACGAACAGATCGAATAAGAAAAGACACATTCTCGCAATGAGACACCTTCTCGAATGAACAAGTCGAATACGAAGAAAGCCTCCTTAGAAAACTTGTTAAATGCCCTAGTGCACCAAATGTTTACTCTCTGTCTCTAGTCATCTCTCTACCAATTACGCACAACTCACTCCCTCGCGAGGCTACCTTTATGGACTACATGTGTTTTTACTCATACCTCTCAACAATACTTTAAGTATTTATTTATAAAGTCTCACACCCAATTCCTTGGTAGATAAGGATTACAATATTTTCTTAGTGACTAAGACTTGCTTTACTTGAAGGCCAACACTTACATTACAAGAAATTTTCATATAAAATATGACTCTAAAATATAAACCTAATTCTAATAGGAATATGAGCCACAATTCCTAACAATGCATTCATCGCCGTGAGAAACCCTTGGCAATATCTTCAACTAAATTGGGATATTGCAAAACCCTTGAAACTTTTTAGCAGATTGATTCACTAGAACCTATCCTCAAATCTTTTATAAAAATATTTTTCACTTTTTCCTAGCATTTTAGTCATTTATCAACTTGAAGCCAGGGTAGGCGAAATCGCTAACTTATGCCTTCTCATATTGCTTATATTAATATAGTACTAAAAATTATTCTTTTTACTTAACTTACAATATGTTCAAGGAAATATAAAACACTAGTTACATTTTTTTAACTTAGTAAATAGTGATTTAATTTTGCTGAAAATTTATGTGAAAGAGAGTTAATAAATTACAAAGTAAAAAATTTTGAACAAGTATTGATATGCAAGAGAATTAAAAATTTTAAATAAAAAAAAGAGTTAATTGTAAGATAAAACTTAATAAACTTATATTGAACAATAGAAGAGCGTTGTATTTATAAGGTGATTAATACAATACACTAACTATAAATAATGGAAGGTGGTATTCGTACTCCACTTTTCTCCATTTGTAATTTACTTTTCTTTTTCTTTAAAAAGAAATGTTAAGAAGGTCCTTGAATTTATTAATGTATTATGCCTTATTTTATAATCTCATAACTACCTTTTATACAACTTAAATTTTTTTTCCCAGTGCTATACTTTCTTTTCTTTTTGGAGGTCCTCTCAAAGAAGATAATTTATTCCATAATGATAATTTTATTTTTGGTAGTTAAAAAAAATAATTTACTCAATAGTGACATTTTTTTTTTTTTTTTTTTTTTTTGTGCAATCAAAACAAATAATTTCTTCGACAAGCTTAACTTTTTTTTTTTTTTTTTTGGTCCCATTAAAAGAAACAACTTTTTTTTTGTGATTTTATATTGGTCTCGTCAAAAGAAATAATTTATTCAATAGAAATATATATATATATATATATATATATATATATATATATATATTTAGGTATTATCAAAAGAGATAATTTATTCAATAGAGATATATATATTTTTTTAATCCACTTTTTCGTACTTTTTTATTTTGATCTTGACAAAAAAAATAATTTCTTCAATAAATATATATATATTTTTTTTTGGGTTTTTTTCTTTAAAAAGAGATAATTTTTTTAAGGTTATTTTTTTTTTTTGTCCGGTCAAAAGAGAATTTATTCAACATAATTTTTTTTTTCATCCTCGAAACAAAATATTATTCAATTTTTTTTTTTTATCTTGCCAAAAGATACCTAAAATATTAAAAATTAGAGATAAGGAAAGAAAATCTAAAAGGACAATTGTGTCATTTAAAAAATAATAATCATTTATTTATAAAGTTAAAGATATAATTATCATTTTATATAAGATTATAGTGTAAACATAGAAAAGTGGAGTGCGAATAGCGCCTCCCTAAATAATTTATTAATTTATATATATATATATCTATATATATATATATATATATATATATATATATATAAATTTGTTGTGACCAATAGAAGAACAATTGGATTAATTTGGTAACTAATATAATACACTAACCACAATTAAATGATTAAAAGAAATATATTATTAAGAGGGGTGCTAATTGCAGTTGTGCAAGCGACTGTCCATTCACAGTCGCAGTTAGGATTGGTTAGTTTTAAATGCATTAATTACTTTGACTTTCAATTTTTATGGAACCCTACCAACATTACTTTTTAGACAAAAGTATCCCTTTAAATTATGTTTTTCTTTTTATCTCCTCTTTTAATCGATTCATATGAAGATATGTGCGTATGTACATGTGTACATAATAATAATAATTACTATTATTATTATTATTATTATTATTATAACTAATGTGATGTGAATGGATGCTGGAAAAAAAAAAAAAAATCCAAAAAGAATAAAAAGAAAGGTAAAAAAAAAAAAAAAAAAATTGATTATATATTTCTTCTTTTTTTCCTTTTTCAGAATACATAGATAGGATAATTCATTCACAAGAAAAAAAAAAAAAAAAAAAAAAAAAAAAAAAAAAAAATCGATTATATATTTCTTCTTTTTTTTGTTTTTTCCTATATATATATTATATATATTTGTTTCTTTTTGTTTTTATTTTTTAATTTTACAACTATCCTTCTATAAATGGATTTTAAGAAAAAAAAATGAAATAAAAGAAAAGGAAATAATTCATTCACCAAAAAAGAAATATATACGTATATAAAACTAATTTTGTATATATCTTTTTTAAATCTCAGAATCTATATCTCGTTCTTTTTTCTTCCTTTTTTTTCAGACTTTTTTCTCTCTCTTTTTTTTTTTTCGTTTTTTTTTGTCAGAATCCATTTATTGTGAATGGATTATCCTATCTAATTTTTTTTTTTTTTTTTTTTTTCCTTTTTCAGCATCCATTCACAGCACATTAGTTATAATTATTATTATTATTATATATATATACACATACATACATACGCACACATCTCCATATGAATCGATTAAAAGATAAAATAAAAAGAAAGGCATAATTTAAAAGGATATTTTTGTCTAAAAAGTAATGTTAGTAGATTCCTATCAAAATAGAAAGTTAAAGTAATTAATGCATTAAAACTAACCAATAGTAACTGCGACTGTGAATGAATAGTCGCTTGCGCGACTGCAATTAGCACTCCTCTATTATTAATATAATGAGATGGGGCCTCTTCTCTTGTCGGGGCTTCCACGGCTTTAATTGACTTATTCGACTGCCTTAATTGACTTATGAATGAGCTATCCTGACAATATTAGTTATATATTAGTTAGAAATATATAACTAATATAATGGGATATAGGACCTCTTCTCCTATTAAGGGCCTTAGACGACTGCCTTAATTGCCTTATGGATGAGCTGCCCTGACAACCCGCTTAAAAGAAATATATAACTAATATAATGAAATATAATGTATCTCTTCTCTTATTGGGGGCTTTAGACGACCATCTTAATTTCCTTATGGATGAACTATCCTGACAACACACTTAAAAGAAATATATAAACTAATATAATGAGTCTCTTATCCTATTGGGGGCTTAGACGACTACCTTAATTGTTTTATGAATGAGCTGCCCCACAACACATTTTAAAAAATACATGTAACTTATATAATGAGATGTGAGATCTCTTCTCCTATTGGGGGCTTTAGACGACTGGTTTAATTGTCTTATGAATGAGTTGCTCCTGACAACATATTTTAAAAAAATACATTTAAGTTATATAATGAGATATGAGTCTCTTTTCTTATTGGGGGCTAAGTAATTTGCCTTAATTGCCTTATGATAAAGCCACCCAGGATTGAAGCCTTCCTCTTATCTCTCAATATATTTATTTATTTACAAAATAAATAAATAAATGACCTTCAAAGCAAGAGCTGTGCTGCAATTTCGCAACTTGGAATGTTTAGTATATACATTCAAGGGATTTCTGTCCATGATTTTAAATTTCTAAGTATTTTGTTGTCATATGTAATAAGTTTGGATGAGAGATTGACAAGGCCCACGCTCCAAGGTGGTTTTAAATTTTCACTGAGGTGCCATAAATATCAATTACATTAAGATATAATCTTGTACGACATGTATCGAAATAATGTTTTTTTTCATCAACTCGTGATATAGTAAAACTTCAAATTCACTAACAGTAACTTCCCTCCCCACAACACACAGCGATTCTGGAGCCCATAAAACCCATAGAGGAACTCGAGAGTCCAGAAAGCCGATGATGTTGAAACTGCATCCATTTGTGCTATTAATTCTTATTAACTTAAAAATAAATAAATAAAAAAAGTACTTTCAAGTAATGCAACTCTCACACTATTTATAAAATATAGTACTAGTAGTTAACATCTCAAAAAGAGACCATTGTGATGCGAAAACTAACTCGAAAATAGTCCTGTCATAGTCATGTCAAACAATTTTTCCTTTATTGTGGAATCAATAAAGAGAAAATCCTCTTACAAGTAATGCAACTCTCACACTATTTATAAAAGGACAATGCTTAGTTAAGCAACTCTTACACTATTTATAAAAAGAAAATATTTAGTTACTTATCGGTGAATATGGTGAATCTACTCACCCCTATACAGTCCAATAAGAAAATAACACATCATATTTAATAATAAAATAATTCACACATTTCTCTATTTTCTCAGATCAACCAACGAATAAATATATATAGTGTTTTTAGGTGTGAATTATTTTATTATTAAATGTGATGTGTTATTTTGTTATTAGAACACATAAGGGTGAGTAGCTTCACTGGACCCATCAATGAGTGGTAACCTTTATAAAATATAATATTAGTAGTTAACATCTCAAAAAAGAGACCACTATGATGCCAAAACTAACTGGAATAATAGTCCATGTCATTGTCATGTCAAATAATTTTTCCTTTATTGTTTGTTGAATCAATAAAGAGAAAATGTTTTTGTATTTTTAAAAAATTAATAACTGTCTTTTGTTTTGATGCTCTAACAACTATTGTTAAAAGTAATTTTGAAAATTACAAATCAAACAAGACCCAAATTTTTTAAATGTTGTAGTCATGCATGCAGGTGGATCAGTTTAATTTTTGGAAAAGACAAGCTTCACTATGTTGTTATTTTAATCGGATCTAAAGGAAATTATTTACCCTATAAAATAGATTAAATAGTGAGGGAAATACTTGAAGGTAGCGTAAACTTAAAAGGTATTTATTACGACAAAAAAAAGAATCTTATTTTATTTATAGAAACAAGAGTCCACTAACATAACACCAACATTACACAGTTAAATAGGTACAACACTCATATCACTTGCACTTGAAAAGAAAAAACTCCTAATAAAGCTTAAACATAACTCAAGACTCTACTGGAAAGACAAACTCCATCAACGGGGAAAAACGGCGGCAAACACCTCATATGCAAGATGTTACCGACCTAAGCTGCAGTTCCATTAAAATGCTCGAGAAATGCACATACTTCGGTTTAAAATAGATCTGTCTTCAAACTCTTTAATTACCTTCTTTCGGCCTAATCTCGATCCCTTCGAGAATCAGGCCACTCTTCCAGCTGCCACTCTTCACCTCCTGCAAACACAGTTCAAGTTCCCCATCTTCTCCACTCTTGTTATAAAGCTCACCGAATTCAATCTCAAACCACCCATCTCCTCTTTCCTTCGGATACTGAGCATTGCTTTCCCTACACGGCGGGTTTTCCCTAGGCGGGGAAGCTTGTCGTCCCACCATACCAGTAGTAGGATACCGGAGCATCCCAGCTTGCCTCAGTACAATATGGAATTGCTGCCTCTCCTCCGGGGCAGGATCCAAATACACCGTTCTTGTTTCGCTCTTATTCCCGCCAACGGCTACCCAACCCTCCACTGGCTGGTATTCAAATCCGTACATGGCCGATGTCGACTTGAACACTAGGTAAGCTGCATAGGTTGTGTCCGGAGACAGCATGCAAGTGTCTATCTTGCCACGGATTTCGAGCCAACACACGCTCACAAGCTCGGCCACCTCTCTAAACCTGTAATGTATATGTTGATGTGAATCCATGACCAAAATTGATGTGAATCCATGACCATATTGTTGGAGGTAGTAATCGTTTATATATATGTAGATGGAAATGAAAAGAAAATAAGAAATATAAAATACCGAGATGTACCTGGACTCTCGCGCTCGCGAAGAACTATCCCACCTCCAGTACAATGGTGTATCACCCCATATGATGTAGAGATCTCTTGCCGCTAACATGTAACATTTCTTTCCACTCCATTTCTCCAACCAGAAGCTCTGTTCATTTCTCGTGTATTAACACGACGCCATACGTATGAAAATGAATGAAGAGAAGAATAGAAACAACCAAAACTTTAAATCCGAGCCAATTACGACAAACCATGTATCATGTGATTCATATAATTTAAGTTGAAGGTGCAACATAAAACCTATAAAGGTGGATTTAAGTTTACGAAAGCAATGGATACAAAAGTTTTTTTTTTATTATTTTTTATTTTTTATTAGTACATAATTTCAAATTAAATTGAATCTTGACGTGAATAAAAAACTTTAAAACTAATTTTAAGGGTAATTTATTTTTATTCCTATATTATTGAAAACAGGAAAAGTCACTATTTAGGAATTAAGTGAAAAGTTATAATTTAGCAATCACAAATTCATCCTAACCAACCTAAATTTCAAACAAAGTAACCAAAGTTTCAAACAAATGTTAATAAATTGCCATCAAACATATAGAGATATAGAGCTTAAACAATAAACAATTTTAACAAAACATTGAATTTGAATTTGAAAAAATATATATTTTTTTCTACCCACAATTAAATTGACTATAATTTTACCTTAGTCCCTCCATCGATTAGGAGAGGACGGTTACAGAGTTGAAAATAGAGCTCTTTCTTTGACGAGAAAACCAGTTGAAATTGAGAAACAATATCGTGATAGTCCTCAGGCAGAAATGTCTCCCAAACGGGGTCGGAATCAGCAGTGTACATGACGGTGGAGGCCACCAGAGTAAGTCTGCACACATCGCGAGGAGTCGTGAACGACAACACCTTTGTTACACAATCCTCAGGCAACACAGAAAAATCAACCATCTCTTTTTCTCTCTACTCTCTCCTTTCTCAATTCTCCGTATATATATTTATACGTTGATAGATAGAAATATATATAGGGTGAGGGGCGGTAAAGGTAAAAGAGAAAGAGAAAACTTCGTGGTTAAGGATTTCAGACATAGATATGTCAAAAGACGAATCTACACACGTGGAATATATTTCGTAGATGCCGGACACGTAAGAAGTTAAACATGCCACGAATCCTTCCAATTAGATAATTACTTTTAAGTTTATCTGTGCCACCGAAAAGATATATATATATATATATATATATATATATATATATATATATATATATATATATACTGAACATTGTTGGAATTGTGGCTCAAAATTTGTGGGCAGAAAATTAGTTTGGAGAGATTTAACTTTCAATAGCCGACCGTTAAGTGAATTAGAGGGAGTTAATTATTTTTCGAGTGAAAATGTCTAGCTAACACAATTCGAACATATAAACAATTTGAGACGAGTTTAAATATAGGTTAATTGTGTTTGGATCGTAATCGAATCGATTTAAATTGATACAGTAATTGAACGTTGTATTCCTATTTTACTCGTCGGTTATTTATAATTCCATTAACTTTTTTAGTTAAATGTATTATGTTCGTGTTAAAAATAATTTATTTAGTTAAAGACAATACTTAGGTCCTCCCGTGAGAATGTACTCTCATCCTTAATATGGACTAATAATAAAAGGATTCCGAATCCACATCAGCATCAAAGAAGTTGTGTTCATTTTTTTTTATTGATCCACATTAACAATAAAAACCATAGACATCTTTATAGTGAGGATCTAGTATTCTCTTGTCGTTTGTGTCGTGTCAAATTTTAGACTTATTTATTAAATAATTACGTGTGTAATGTTGTGTTACTCATATAATAATTGTGGCACGTTAATATCGTTTAAAATATTAATGTTTTGACCACGCTAACACCACCTACTAATACAAATTGCAATCCACACTAATTAATTATATGTGATAATTTAGGTTAAAAAGGAAACATGTTAGCCTGATCGTATCTATCATTGTCCTCTGCTTTATAAATGCCTCAATGCACTGCAATGAATCTCCTTTATCAACAAAAGGGATGTGGCACTTTTCGAAAAAAAAAAAACGAAAGGGATGTCGCAGCCTACGCCATCAACTGGACCTTTTGTTTTTTTTGATATATATATATATATATATAAACTACTGTATTCCATGTATATATGAGATGGGCTTGATTACAATCATTAGCCCTATTGGACCTTTTTTTGTAAGGAAACTAACTATTTATGTGGGCTTAATAAATGAATGTACCCATTTGGTTTGGGTTGGCTTCAAAAAATAGTTTACGATGATTAAATTGTTAGTCGGCCTCTTTTTATGTTGGGCCAAACATATAGTATCACACACCCGCCCCGACCCCACTAAACACACACACACACACACACATCACATATGATTGTCAGGCAAGAGTTGCAAATTGGTCTCGCCCAGCAGAGCTGGCTTGGTGGGTTGAGTCCAACCCAGCCAGACAAACTTTGTTGAGGGCTTGGGTTTTGGTCAGGCCCAGGGAAATCTAAGGCTGATCGATCTGGCCTGTTAAAGCCAACAAATTGAATCACTTTATCTATTAATTATTTTAATAACTAATTATAAGTATTTTTAATATTAATATAAAAAAATTGTCAATTTGTACTTCATATGATGTCACACTTTCTTTTCTTCTTCTTTTTTTTTTAAAATTGCAAAAAACTCAAACACCCATTTTTCTTTAAGTCTCACCATCCCTTTAGGAGGTGGAGGAGATGCCACTAGGCGGGGCGGAGCTAAGATCTTGAGGTTGGGGGGGGGGCCAAAATTATAAACAACATTACCTAGCTAGAACTTTTGAAAAAAAAAAAAAGATATTATGTAGGCAAAAATATTTTACTATTTATTATATTCATATAAAAATATATCTAACTTTTTTCAATTTATTTAAATTAAAAATATTAGTTATTTAGAGAAATTTTTTATCAAACTTTCTGAACAAAAACAAATAAGATTTATGCCCAAAAAAAAAAAAAAAAAAAAAAAAAAAAAAAAAAAAAAAAAAAAGAATCAATTAAATAACTCTCTCTATTTACCGGAAAAAAAATTGAAAATTTAATAAAACAATAACAATGTTAAAAAAAATAAAATAAAATAAATAAAATAAACACAAACAAATTAATAAAATAAGAATTTAGATTCTTAAATCATCGATTTTTGTTGATATTCAAAACTTCAAATGAAATTATTGTTCTTGATTTTGTAAAAATTAATTTCTTATAGAATTCTTATAAAAGCATTTCAATAAAAATGAATAAAAACAAAAAAAGTGATGTAAATAATCATGTATGAGATGGAATTTTCGAATAATAAAGTATGGAAAGAATCATGCTTGTAGTCACATAATGGAAAAAACGGTGTTTGAGTTGAAATTTTAAGATAGTCACATTAAATTTTTATATGAATCAGTTTTTATCGGGGTTTTATAGTCGTCAATTAAATCACTATATAAACTATCTTTTGTTAAATTCTAATTAAAGAAATATATATATTTTTTCTTGGGGGGGCCAAGTATAGATTTTATACCAAATATGCTATTCTATTTTATTTTTACCTATACTAAAAAAAAATTTCCAAAAAATTAAGAGGGGCATTGGCCCCCGCCAGCCCCCCCTTCCTTCTGCCCCTGCCACTAGGGCTGATTACGGATTGGTTCGGTTTTGTTTTGGGTAAAATTCAAACCAATCCGGTCCTCACGAATTGGCTAAATCTGAAACTGAACCGATCCGTGGAGCCTCTCAATCCGAATCAAACCGATTCGTGAAATAACAGATTAGTTCGGTCCGGTTTTCACGAATTAGGCTTTTTCAAACAACCCAATATGATTATATTGTAGTGCATCGGCTTAAGATAGCAAACGGGGTCGGAACTCCCAGCCGCCAATGGAAATCCTTTCAGTAGAGGTTTGCGTCCGTAGTTTTCAACCCATCGGCAGGCGTTTCATCACTTCGGCACCAACTAAACTCAGCAACATTATGTCTCAGTCAACTGCTAATAACCAAACTCAGAGTGGACAGCCTCAACCCAGCTTTTTGGACTTCAATTAAATGGTTTAGTAACATCCAGAGAGTATAAGATAACTCAAGATAAGCATCATGTGCATATATGTATATGTAATACCCCTAATTTTAAAAGGACAGTTCTGGAATTTAATTTAATTATTTATTGTATTTTTATTAAATTATTTGATTATTTGTTTGTTTTAATTAATTAATTATTTGCTTATTTGATTTATTTTATTTTTAATTCAATTAATTGTGTTTTTCTTTCATTAATCGTTTTAAATTGTGTTTTCTTTAATTAATTGCTTAAATTGTATTTTGGTTTGTTTCATTAATTTAAATGTATTTCCCAAGTTTAATTAGTTACGAGCTTATGTGAATTCACTGTTTTGGTAATTAGGGTTTCATGTTTTACATCGTGTCTAGGATTGGAGCCGACATATAATTGGTTTAGGATTTAAATTAGGGTTTCAATTAAAACCTATATATACATACGCTTGCTGAAGGTTTTAGGGTTTTAGAAAAACATACGTTTACATCTGTAACACAAGGGACTGCTAAGAAACAAAGAGTGAGAGAGGGGGCATAGGAAGGCAGAGTAAGGGAAAACTCAGAGACGTGGATTTAGTGTTTCAACTCTGGAACTTAAAGGCAAGTTTCTGATCTTCTCTTTCCCTTTAATTCGTGTTCTGTGCATGCCTAGTTTAGACTCCAGGGATTAAATCAAGGATATAACGGATTTAAATAAACATTAAAATAAGTCTGTTATGCATGTATGAATTTTGTTAGACTCGTTGATATAATTGATTTGCATTACCTTTGAGGTTCTGTTCTTTGTTTCTTTTGTGGTTTATGATTAAGCTTTGTTACAGTTGAGATTAATAATGTGATTGGATGTCTTGAAACTATTCTGGGACTAGGTTTGAACTCAAGAACAAGGATTTAGAACAGTATATAAAAATTCACTGAGGTAATCTACGGTTAGTTGCTTAAACTTTCTAACGGAGGTTTTGTAATCATGGCTTAAAAACTTGTGTTCCTTTACATCTTAGGATTGGATTTCAGTGGACCTAGAATATGATTTAGAACACGTTACAAAGGTTCTGTGAATCACTGGAATAGAAGAAAACGAAGCTAGACTGGATGAGGCTACTAAGAGGAGGGAGAGAAGGCTCCAAACTTTCTTAGAGCCGGCTCCCAAAGGAGAGAGCCGGCTCTAGGTGTCATGGAGCCGGCTCTAAGATCCTAGAGCCGGCTCTAGGTGAAAAAAATAGAGCAGGCTCCCATTTTAAGAGCATACTCTCTCTTGAAATGCACTGTAACGTGAATTTTTAAAACTGTTTGGGTTTTCTGGGTTTCTGTAATTAATTTAACTTGTTTAAAAGATGTGTGGGACTGTATAAGGCTGGAATTGTGATGGAAAAATATAAATTTACAATTGAATTGAGGAATAGAGCAAGCAAAAACCCAAGAGGAAATTTGTAACTTGTACACTATTATACTAATTTATTTACTGGAATTTGGCAAGAGTTTTATATATAATCTAATTATATATAATTATATATTTTTCTAGTATTATAGGTATGGTGAATTAATTAAAATCAACTATACTTAGTATGGATTTAATTGGTACTTCATTTGTATTAAATTGTATCAATTCATGGATCTTGTTGGAGGATGTAAATGTTTGCATATATTATAACAGTTTACAACATTGGATATGGTTTTTAGGCCTTGTATTGAATGCTTAATATTTATGTATATGGATTCATATATCTTGTGCATAACTTGGAGTATGGTTGATAACTATTTAATATTGTATTGTCAACTATGTTAACTGGAGGATTGTATGTACCGGTATGGGACGGTGACATACTAGGTATGGATTAGTTCAAACACTAAATCCTACCTAATTTGGAATAAGTGGA